CTTCCAGTCACAAACTCATCTAGATAAGGCCACAGCCAGCTCTTTCCTGTCTGAGGATCAGTTTCTGTGATATATCTATCTGGATGTTCTTGTCAAGCCTGTTTCTATTACATGTGGACAAGTTTTTGTTTGTGATGAGCCTTTGCTATCACTGAATGAATGTGAATGAATGTGCAAATGTGGCATGTGATGTAAAGTGCTTTGAGTGGTCGGAAGACAAGAGAGGTGCTATAGAAGTGCAGTCTATTTACCATTTACTTGTCTCTCAATCATGTGTAACAAGAGGTTGTAATTATGACTTTGTATGCTTGTTTTGTTATTTGGTGTTGAATTTTTTAGTCTTTGATATATAAGATGAATTTACATAAAGTTTTTACTTTTCTATGTATCACTGTGTATGTACTTTTCTAACTGGTATCAGTATGTTTACTCTACCTACAGTGTTGGAGTTAGATGAGTTTATGTTACATACATTTAAGATCATTTTAGTGAAGATGGTGACAGAAGCTTTATTCAAAAACACCACTAGAGGGAGTAATCTACTCACCCTTCATACAAACAGTGGCCCACACTCAAGAGATAAAACATGTCAGTGTAGCAGTGGTGGAAAGTAACTAAATTTAATCAAATACTGTAGGTATAATTTTGAGGTTTTTGAGGTTTTCCTGCTATTTTATACTGCTTCCAAATATTCTATATTATTTAACAATTTTAGTTACTTTGCAGCTTTAGTTAAATTATACAAAACATTACCAAATAAATTATGATGTCATATGATAAATTAAGATAAAACTTTATTGATCTTTGGGGGGACATTCACAAGCTACCCAGCAGACTATATAAAGTTCAGAGTAAACCGAAGTAAGCTTCAACATTAAAGCAATGCTCGCCTGAATGCATCAATAATTATAATTCAATAATATGGTATACAGTACATTATCCTGAAATGGGTCATTCTGCATAATAAGTACGTTTACATTTTGTACTTTAAGTATATTTTGATATACTTTTGTACTTGTGTAAATAATAAACTATGTGTTTATGTGTACTTATATTTGTACACTATGGTATTGTCACTTTTACATAGGCTACTATAAGTACAAGATCTGAGTACTTTAGTTTAAAGTTTAGATAGAAGAAATTTTTACTTTTAGCCACTGAGCTACTGCATTTTAGGTTTTTATGTAGTCTGACTATATACTTAAAATGTGATATGGCCTGGAGACTGTATAATTACATATATCAGGTTACAAACTGTCCTAAGTATAAGAGAAGAGCTTTATCTTGGATGCACTGCCATGAACTTTATTACAAACACTCATGACACTCTTCAGCTCATTCATGACAGGATCAAGTCCATGGGTATATAGTTGAGTAAAAAAAATAAATCTTTAAAATATCTGACAGAATGAACAGGCTTACCATATAATACCTTATAATACCATAACCTTGGTGTCTTTATTTAGGGTATACTGGGGGGAAATTAAAGGTCCAGTGTGTAACATTTAGGAGGATTTATTGGCTATTGCTTACTTTTGGTTTTATTTTTCTTATGCCAAAACTAATGATTTACTTATTTTTATGCTCCTTTTAGATTTTTCTGTCCCTTTCAATTCTTTATCAGTGCTTACTTGCTCTTTTTGTTTACCCTGTTACTGAATAACATTTCTCACATATTACTTTTCACTGGGTTGCGCATTAAGTACACAAAGAAAAACCTTTTTCTTCAGTGTTCTGCACCACCATATTATTTGTTCTTTCAAGATTTAAATGTGACTTTAGACAGCAGGCATTTACAGGCAAAGGGAATAAGGCAAAAATAAGATATTGCTCAGTAAAACATATAGGTATAGCAAGTATATAAATG